GGGGGGATGCGCCACCATGTGCCCGGCTGCCTCCCTGCCAGTCACTGTCAGGTTAATAACCGCAGAACGGAGGAAAGGAATTAAATGCAGCCGCTGAACTATATTTAATTTGCGCTGTATCCTGGAGCTGAGGAACTAGTTCAATAGAGACTCTTATCAGCCTGTTTGAAGAGTTGAGCTTTTTATCTAGCGGTTGTTTTACTGCCTGCTCTTGCGGTTGCAAATAGCTGAATGTGGGCACACAGAGAGCCGAAGCTTGGGGCTCGCTCCCCTGCGGCTTTTCTCCTCTCGGGGGTCAGCGTTTCACCCCACGCACCCTCCTGAGCCCGCGGCCGCTCGCGGGACCGACCCCGGCATGGGGAGCATCTCCGCTGCCTGGGGGGTGGGCCATCCCCACGCGACTCGGAGCAGTTCCCGTGAGAAAACGGGTCCTTTCCACCCTCTGCGTGTGCCCGAGCCGGGGCGGGGGGGAGCACAGGGCTCAGAAGCGCTGAGTTTCAGAAAGCTTCTTGGCAGCGTTCAGGTTTTTACCAACACCGGCGCATTTCCAGGAGCCGCTGTGATGCTGTGCAACCCGAACTGGGATATTTCTTTGCATGTTTTTATGAACTGAAATGCTCTTCCCCTCGGGCCCGCGTGCCCGGCGATCCCAGGCCTTCCATTATTTACTCTGACAGTCTGCCGGCTCCTGCGCCGTGGCCTGTCGCAGCCCGCGCTGCAAATCATCTCTCACCTTGTCACCACCGAGATGGCAATTTTACTGCTGGCAGCTTCAATCGCGGTGAATTTGCAGCTCGCGCTCCCTCTCCCTCCCTCTCTGCCCTTTGATGGTTTAGAAACCATCACGAGGATTTCCTTCCTAGCTGGAAGGACATGGAATGCCGTGAACACGGCGGTGCTCAGCCGCGGTGCGCGCGTGGTGCCGGGTCAGCATCCTCGGTGTGCCGCGAGGCCTCCCGGCCGCGGGGGATGCTGGGTCCGTGGTGCCATCCAGGTCATGCTGCTCATCCAGCATTTCCTCCCTGTAGTTTAAATGATGAGTTGAGTTTCTGGTTTTTCTTATCAGCTCCGGCGCCTCTGAAAAGGGCTTCGTTTCCAAGCAGGTGTGTGAGTGGAGGAGCAGCTCCGAAACGCCCGGGAGCAGCCCCATGGTCTGTGTCCCGCTCCGTCTCCCGCAGGGACATGGTGCTCTCACACCGGCTGCTTTTAATGTTTAAGATTTACTCATTTGGTGTGTTGACATCACATTGTGATTTGGCAGAGCCATACAGCCGGGTACTGAAATGACGGCGCGGGCACGATGCCGCAGTTGAGACACACACTCGGGTCACTGTTGAGACGTGGTGCCTGTCCCCAGTCTCGGTCCGCTCACCACCACGGCGCTGGGTATCCCCAGCTGCAGCACGGGATGTGTGGGTCGGAGCCAGCTCAAGCCCGTTGCTCTCTTCAAACCTTTTTTTTATTACTTCTCCGGGTTTTATACTCTATGTTGGGCTGAGCCACATACACGCTTCGCCCAGGCTGGTCTGGCTGGCTCAGGAAGACATCACTCCCTGCTCAGTATCTCCAGGAGCGCTGGTTGTACAACCCGGTGAAGCCCCGGTGCAGCCACGTGCCTGACACCACCCTCTCCATCCCCTCCCCAGGGTTAAGTTCAGTTTCTACATGGTAATCGCTGGTGACTCCTTACATTCTGCCCGGCGCCTGGGATTTTTGCCTTCTCTCCTCTGAGCCTTTTTCCGCCGTGGGGGATGTTTGTTGGTCACGGAAGGGTTCAGCTTCATGTGCTGCTCTTCTCGTGAACGATGGAGATGACATTTTACGAGCTATTTTACATGTAGCAGGGTGCAGGGGCAGGTAGCGCGCCCCGGCAGGGCACAGAGTGCTCTGGCACGGGGGGAGCTTTAGTGGATGCCTCGCTCGCCTCCTGGGCGGTTTGGGGGTGCCGTGTCGGGGTGCAGGCGCTAACCCGGTGCCGTCCGCGCAGGAGCAGCAGCTGGCGGAGCTGGCGGCGGTGCGGCAGGTGCTGCAGGCTGACCTGGGGACCTCCATCCGGCGCATCGCCGATCTGCAGGTGGCCCTGGAGGAGCTGCGGTCCAGCGACGAGAGCGATGCCGAGAGGTGAGGGGAGCAGCGCCGGGGGCTGTGGGG